CCAAATCTACCAGCTAAGTATAGCCTTTCCTTAAGTTCCAAATGATATGTTTTGTCTTGCACCACCATACTGCTCACAGTCTTTCTCCTGGCGTGACTGCAACACAAATATATATGACGAAGTCAAGATATTTACCTGAACATCCAAGGTTCCTGACAATCTCACCTTATCCTACATGTTAATTTTTACTTTCATTGTATTTTTCCTCTCTGTCATTCACTTACTATTTTCATTTTACCGTTTGCTTAGTCTCCTTTACCTCCCTGATTACCTCTGTCATTCATCCATTTTCTTGGTGTTTCTTTAAATTCTTCTTTCTGAATACATTTATCTTGAGCCATCCTTTTTATCTTTTCCTCTACTGTTACTTACTCCATAACAGTGATCCACTATCTATGATACAGCAGGTTTTGATGTTGTGAAAGCTGAGGTGAAACTTACTGAGGGCGCACCCTCAGTAAGTTTGCAGATGACACCAAATTGGCTGGAAGTGTGGATCTGCCTGGGGGTAGCGAGGCCCTACAGAGGGATCTGGACAGGCTGGAGAGCTGGGCTGTAGCCAATGGGATGAGTTTCAACAAGGCCAAATGCCGGGTCCTGCACTTCGGCCACAACAACCCCAGGCGACGCTACAGGCTTGGGGCGGTGTGGCTGGAGGACTGCGTAGAGGAAATGGACCTGGGGGTATTGATTGATGCTCGGCTGAATATGAGCCGACAGTGTGCCCAGGTGGCCAAGAAGGCCAATGGCATCCTGGCTTGCATCAGAAACAGTGTTGCAAGCAGGAGCAGAGAGGTGATTGTTCCCTTGTATTCAGCACTGGTGAGGCCGCACCTCGAGTACTGTGTCCAGTTTTGGGCCCCTCACTGCAAGAAAGATATTGAGGCCCTGGAGCGGGTTCAAAGAAGGGCAACAAAGCTGGTGAGGGGTCTGGAACACAGGCCATATGAGGAGAGGCTGAAGGAGCTGGGAATGTTCAGCCTGGAGAAGAGGAGGCTCAGGGGAGACCTCATTGCTCGCTATAACTTCCTGAAGGGAGGTTGTAGTGAGCTGGGGGTCGGCCTCTTCTCTCGTGTCATTAGTGATAGGACCAGGGGGAATGGCTTCAAGCTACAGCAGGGGAGATTCAGGCTGGACATTAGGAAGTATTACTTTTCAGAAAGGGTGGTCAGGCACTGGAACGGACTGCCCAGGGAGGTGGTGGAATCACCGAGCCTGGGGGTGTTCAAGGAAAGACTGGATGTTGTGTTGAGGGACATGGTTTAGTAGGAGCTATTGGGAATAGGTGAACGGTTGGACTGGGTGATCTTTTAGGTCTTTTCCAACCTTGGTGATTCTATGATTCTATGATTCTATGAAATACCAACATAGGAGCCCCTGGCCTTTCCCTATCCTCACTTAGCAAGCCCATGATATATCCTTCAATACCATGGTGTGGGGGACAATAACCTATTACTACTTTGGTTTAGATCAGTCCATTGGCTATTCTTATTTATGCTACAGATGGATCGAGGTAGGGAAGTTATATAATGAATGAAAATAAAGATGTTACAATTATGAAATAAACAAGAGAGTTTGGCAAAGCAGATTATAGTAACATAAAGAAAATAGATAGAAGGCTTACCTGTATCCTGGACCCACTGCAAAACTCCAGAGGAGGGATCTCCAGAAGAGATCCTTTCTTACTGGTAGTCAGCTCTTAAATGGGTCTAGGAGAGGTGCAGTCAGGCTCCACCTCTTCCGGCAGCACAGGTGAATTGCCTTCACCTGTGCTCCCAGGGCTGACTTACTGTTCGCCTCAGGTGATCAATCAGAGTTTCAGGCCGTGATTCAGCAGTTCCCATACAGAAGTAGTAAAGATTGAATTGCGATTCTAAGAACCTGTCAGGAAAGTTTATCCTCCCTGAACTCCCTGCAGTCTCACTGGAGAGCACATGTGACCCAGAAAGAGAAACAGAATGGACAAAAGTCATGCTAAACAGCTGAAAACCTAGTCTGTGTGGTAGGCATCATGGAAGCTATACGTGGGATAAGACATATTTCATTCAGGATTTTCTAATGTTGTGTTACTTAGATTTTGTACATTTATTTGTAAGTTCATTTTCATACTTTATTTTCACTCATTTTATTAGAGCTACTGGTTGGGGCCAAATTTCACAGTCCAGACTAGAAGTCAAAGGGAGGTTAATTTGAATACAAACA